CACGACAGTACCGTACTGGCTGGGGCTGTCCAGTGAGGAAAGGCGGTAGGTGTCCAATGAACTATGAATATTTCTCTCACTGTCAGGAGGATTAGCCCCGCCTCTTCTACGCCCGTCTAACAAAGGATTTTTGACCGGCAAACTGCTCCCCTCCATCTTTCCTTGCTGTAGTGAATACTCCCGGCTTAACACTGGATAGCCAAAGGAAGCCCAACCAGAGGGACACGGCTTCCTCGTTCACGTAAGAAGCATGCCACCTTAATATCGTATTTTAGGATAAGTTAACTGATTACATGGACGTAACGAAACCAAACATGGATAATCACCCACAAACGCAGGAGCCTCGATAATCGGTCCAAGTATCACTTCACTATGTGAATTAAAAAGAGGCTGGTACTACTGTTTATTGGTGGTGGTGGTCCGGTGGTAACGTCACCAAATTATCACCCCGGGGATGTGTGTTCGAATCCCACAACCACCGCCCGACTTTCCCCATCGTGTGTGTTGAATGGTAGCCTGTTGATTAGCCACTTCCCCCTTGCTAAAGATAGTATCTTTGTATAGTCAATGAAAGGAAGTCAAAATGAAAATCAAAAAGAAACCATTTCTTTTCGATTTCAATAGATCGATCGGATTGTATAACGACATGCGAAGAAACGTTTGTGCCATAGATTTCAGCCCATTGTCAACAATAATTGAATTGTTCTTCGCCAATCTGTGCTATCCGAAGAGACGCACGTGTTGTAGTACAATCACGACATGATTAACCCTAACCCCGAGCATTGAAAAACGTTTCGTGCCCACTTCAGTACCACATATGCCACCACGCTATTCCATATGCACGACAAGCCAATCTGAATTCCAAAAATCGGTCAAATTGAATAGCACTTTTGAATCTTAACCGATTTAGGTTCCTCTGGTACAGCACATGTCAATTTTACGAGTATACTTTTTTCTCCCTTCTGTCAGTAACGGTCACAAAATTGTCTGATCAAAGGAACCAATTAACCTGGTCGGATTTTTACCCAGCGGTGAAGATTGTCCACTTACCGACCCGGGGGTTGGGAGTTTGAATCCCACCCGGGCTACTTGTCTCATTCTGTCCCAAGACAGCATCCACTCCGTTGCTGAAACTTATTTGTACAACAGTATGTTCAGTAAAAGGATTCCACGTTTCGATGGCATACTCCATGTGGGGTCAAATTAAGGCCGATAACAACCGTGGAAACAGTGCAGATTTTAATTTGCCAAACATTCGCTGTAGGAACCCGACAAATCTCAAAGTGGTGGACGACGCCCTGGAGCAGTTTAAAGAACAACTTAGGTCGTCTTGGACAGTGACACCGAGATCCTTCTCATTCGAGACATACGGAAGTTGTTGATTTCCCAGCAAGTACGGATACCGAGTTTTGTGGAGACGGGATGCGACCGCACATTTTAATGCATTGAATTGGATGTCGTTTTCGATCAACCAGTGATAGGCATCATTAAGTGTTCGCTCAAGTGCCAGCGAGTAGTCCTCCGGTTTTGTCAGTTTTCCATCGTCTGCAAACATTAACGTCTGTGGCCCCAGAATGTTCGTTAGGTCGTTTATGAAAACAAGAAAAACTTCAGGGCCAAGCATGGATCCGTGTGAAAATCCTCGGGCTACGCTGATAGGTCCAGAAAGGGACCCAGAAATTCGAACTGCCATGGTGCATTGTCGAAGAAATTCTTCTATCCAACCCAGTGCAAACCCCAGAACTCCATAAATGTGTAGTTTCCCTAGCAGTATCGTGTGATTTACTCGGTCGAACGCTTTGGAGAAGTCGAGGTACACGACGTCCAGTGCACAACCGTGATCAGCTGCTTTTGTTCTATCTTTGCTAGCCAGAAGCTGGTTAGTGGTACACGATCGACTGCGACGAAACTATAAATACCCCAAATTCACCACAGAACAAATAGGAGGCGCAAGAGATTTATAAATCCGTTATGCCGAATCTCGTATTGATAAAGACGGTAATGGGTGACAAAGACCCTGGTATGCATGGGTAACTCTGCCAATCATATCAACAAGCATGGACAAGTAAGTCAGTCGCCTGGTGTGTAATGTTATTGCAAACAAACACGCACATCTGCACTGGAGCTGCGCAGACTGGTGTCTAATTAATGTGCTGTTACGCAACACAAATTTTCGAGCCAATTAGTTCAGTGGATTACAAGTGTGGCATTTGTCATCTCACCGTAAAGATGCCTAAACCCATGCATTACGTGAACTATATTTTGAACGAACGATCAGTCCAGTTTGGTCTATACAAATTGTGCTAGATGTGATTTGTCAAGGGTCCGAAAATTGGAAAAAACATATGAGAACAGACAAGCACTCGGTAACCGACCATTTATACCGCAAGCAGTCAAGAAAAACGACCTGAGATATGATGCTGATCAATGAAATCATTAACTTATAGTGGTCTGCAGACAGAATTCGGTAGAACAAACGAAACTCCGTGATACGCCTTGAAACCATTAGGACAAAACCATTCATATTCCTGAAGGATAAACCAGAAGTGTCTGTATAATACGATATGATATTATTTGTCCCCATTTGTGCGGTTATTTTATTAAAATTCAGATTTCCATTTTCTTAAACAGAGGACAGTTTCTTACGCACAACCAGCCCGGTTAGTTTCTGGTTGTTCAGTTTCCCTCCTCCATATTTTGGAGTTCTGCCCAAGGTTACTGATGGCTAACCCGATAACTTAATGAAA